GTGGTCTATGGCCAGGCACGTGGGCTAGTGTTCCTTCATTCGGGGTTGCATCTTCAGTTGCCCAACATCTCTACTTTCTTCTACCCCTGCACCTTCAAGTTTGTTTGTGGGCCCCACCAAAGCCCAAAACTCAAGAAATCCTAAACATCGCACCTTAAGCCCTAAACCCTAAACCCTACACCCTAAACCCTAAACCCTTACATCCTAAATCTGGGACCATAGTCCCATCCCCTTGGCCACCCTCGACACCCTGAGGGTGCCAATCCGCTCCTCATGGACGTGTATGCGTCGGAGAAGTCTCTGCGCAACGGCACGTCTCCAGCAGTCGTCATGACCCTGGGGATTTGGGCAATTTGGGGTTTAGGGTTTAGGGTGTAGGGTTTAGGGTTTGGGGTTTCTAGGAGTTAGGAGTTCAGACAACCTATAGAACAAGCCGCGTGTGCCTGACCCACGGGTTTCTTGTCGCGGCACATTATTAAACGAGCCTCCCACAAGAAAGGGGCACCAGCTTACTTTTACCCGATTACGGTAGTTTAGTCCATCTTCCTTCACAAGATCTTTGCCCCAGGATCCATGGTGGAAATTTCATGGCCGGCTCCAAGAATGAAGGCGTGGTGGTGGACGAATCCCACTTCTTTGCCAGCTCGGGCTTTGTGGCTTAGCCGAGTGGGTACACTTTACACTTTTTGGGATACGACAATCCCCTTATAGAACTGAAAGTGTACACTTGTTTTTTTTTTTTTTGGGGGGGGGGGGGGGCTTATGAACTCAGCAACTAAGGTGGCCTTCAGCATCAACTACCAGCTGGCCTCTTGGCTCCTTTTGGGGGGTTGGGGTTTAAGGTTTAGGGCTTAGGTGAGAGCTTGCTCTTCCCTCTCTCCCTTCCCCTCTTGCTCTGAGAGACAGTGGTATCGGGGTCGGAATAATTACTACTAGCATTCCCTTATGGTCCCTTTATAGTTACGGATTCTATAATTACATCCAAAGCCCTAGTCTTATTATTAAGGCTCCTATAGTAGCCCTAAACCCAAAACCCCAAACGATTATATTCCTTAATTCTCAAAGCAAAGAGCTCTTTGTGAGTCACTGTAGCTGGCCAAGGAGTCCGACAACTACCTCGCGGAGTATCAAGACTTTCCATTGGCATCCTTTCTCCTTCTTGTGGGGCTTCAGGGTTTAGGGTTTAGGGTTTAGGGTTTGGGGTTTAGGGTTTAGGGTTTAGGAAGCCCTGAGGACCTTACCTTAAACCCCCTAAACCCTAAACCCCCCCAGAAGAACCGAGGAACCAAGCCGTGCGAGATGCCGTGCATAACGCGAAAGCTGCGGTCCGGTTCATCCGGAAGCATGCCAAGCGGTTCCACGTCGATCCTGCCCAAATTGCCGTATGGGGAGAGCCTTCGTCACACAGAATTTCGCCTTTTTGGGTTTTGGCTCTAGGGTTTCAACCGCCTTTGTCTCTCACGTGAGCCTAAGGAATCCGAAACCATGACAACATGTGGTTTTCGTTTTTGCTTTTAACTCCCAAACTTTTGCTTTCAACCCTCAAATCCTCCCCAAAGCCACCCTACGCATGACAAATTCTGCTCACCTCGTTGTCAAAATGCAGGGTTACCTCTAGGTATACTTAGCGGCTTAGCGGTTCTGTCTTTATAGGGGATATGTCAGCGGGATATAAGGTACCTAATTCCCTCTGCGCATCCCAAGTCCTAATCCTTCACCTTAAACCACGATAAACCAGGGTCGAACTTCTATAGCTCGGTTGAAGAGTTAGTTACACCACACAGCCCCAAGCATGACTCAACACCCTGAATCCTATAAACCCTAAGCCCAAACTTACCACCCTGCACCCCCCCCCCCCCCCCCCCCCCCCCCCCCCCCCCCCCCCCCCCAAGTACATCTCAGATCAGCTAAACCCTAAACCCTAAACCCCAAACCCTAAACCGAGGAGTCGGCTGGGGCCATCATAGCGGCCAGCATGAACTCCGTCTCCACCGAGGGAGACAGCGGCACGCCGGGGGTGTCCTCACAGGCAGGGTAGGGGTTTTAAAGGCGGTTTAGGGTTTAGGGTTTAGGGTTTAGGGTTTAGGGTTTAGGGTTTTGGGTTTTGGGTTTTGGGTTTTGGGTTTTGGGTTTTGGGCATTTTGGGGGGAAACCCTAACACCCGAAACAAGTGCGGGAGTCGCAGAGGTTTGAGATTTTGGGTTGAGGGTGTCTTGTCCGCCATGCTTGGGACCTTAAACCGTAGACCCCCAAATCCTAAATATCCTAAGTCCAAAATACCCTAAGCCTAAGCCCCCAAACCCTAAATATCCTAAACCCTAGATACCCTAAACCCTTAAACCCTAAATATTCTGAACCCTAAACCCTAAACCCTAAACCCTAAACCCTAAACCCTAAACCCTAAACCCTAGAGTGCCAAGAGCAGGTCTCAGCTGCTCTGGGCCTCGCTGGTACGATCTGGCCTTTCCTGGTTGGCATGCCAGGGAACGACGTGCAGGAACCTCCCCGAATTCTTGGGGAGGGCTTGGGGTTTAGGGTTTAGGGTTTAGGGTTTAGGGTTTGGGGTTTTAGAGTGTTAGGGTGCTAGGGTGCTAGGGTGTTAGGGTGTTAGGGTGTTACGGTGTTGGGGTGTTGGGGTGTTAGGGTGTTACGAGGGTTACGGGTGTTTTCAGGGCTTCAGCAGTTTGGGGTTTCTTGGGTTGTGGGCGTTTGGAGTGTAGAGTCATGGGACTAAAGGAGGGACCCTCATAAGGGAACTTAGGGGTTATGTAGGGGTTCTTTGGCAAGTTGGCTCTAAGGAGAACTCACGCCCTGTGTTGGGGTACCCTGCAACCCCAGTAGGCAGTTCTCGAGCTTGGGACGTATGTGGTTCATGTTTTGGGCAAGAGCGTGCTCATTGTGTCTCACATGCCCTTGGCAATCAGGGCCCTAAGCCGAGAACCCTAAACCCCAAACCCTGAACCCTGAACCCTAAAGCCTAAACCCTAGTACTGAACCCTAAACCCTAATCCCTGGAGTTCAAAATGCCCACCGGCCCTACAGGAAGTCACCCCGTGGTTCAATGTCCACGGCACCAGGGATTCCATCGTCTTCCCATTTCTCGCGGTGTCTCGACCCGTACCTCCTGCCTCTCAGCAGGTTTGGGTTTTACGGCTTAGGGTTTAGGATTTGGGTTTTACCTACTGGTTCGTAGTAGAGAATGAGGAATTTAGGTACCTTATATACCCCTATTCTCTTTGCCAATTAGTTCTGGGGTTTGATGGTGGAGCTTTCTAGAACAACTCGAAGAACAGAATCCAAGAGCATTCAGATAGTGCAACTGGGTTACACACCTTCCGGACTTTCAGCGGACTTTCAGCGCGGTCGTAGAACATTCAGGAGTGGACGTTCCGCCTCACTTTCAGACTACCAGCAGGCAACCTTAGGGTCTGCTGCATGACTTTGCACGTTTCAAGACGCCCAGGGAATAGGAAGCCGCTCATCACCTTAAAGTCTTAAAGTCTTCGGGGCCGTCATGGGCTGCTGTGGCTCATCCCCTGTGATCGGTGAACTCGACATACAGTTGGCGCCAAACATCGAACAGCTGATCGGTTGCAGGAAGGAGGCTGTGGGCACCTTGGCAGATACCACAAACTAGGTAGGCCCTTGGGACATTTGTTGTTTTCCCTTTATTAAGAGGATCATATTCAGGAATGTTATTCAGAGGGTTTAAGGGCCATCCTAGACAATGTCACCTACTATGGCAGCAGAGGTGACACGCTGTCATGGTGAGTTCTAGTGTTACGAGAAGATGAGCAGGCCACGGACTATAAGACCCCACCTACTTGCTTTGCAAAACGCCATGCAGAATGTTGCTGTATTTTTGCGAACATGTTTGCGGATCTTTTGGCAACTAGTGCGTTTTTGTTGCGAAAACTGAAACTTGCTCGTCAATATTTTGTAGGAAACCGAAAATCGATGCGCAAAATCGAGACGCCAAGATTTCGCAAACACTCCACAAAGATGAATAACTTCCCAGCCTGGGCCTGTGGCCTTAATCAGCTCACAATTCTAGTGAGTCCGGTTGGTATTGCAAGAAGGGGAGGGTACAATGATCGGCGCTCGCCGTGACAAAGTGAAAGTCCCGATCTGTCGACACAATGACACAGACACGCTGGAAGCATTTGATGGTTATGAACAAGATGTTGATGACATTAATTACAATATAAAATAAATCCTACGTAGTGATCACAATCGCAATTTTCAATACGTAATCAGCACACCCAGCATGCCTATTATGAAGAATAATTAGTAGCAATAATAACTAGCAATAACAGTGGCAATCTTATCATCACGAATATTCGCACCAGTTGTATCAACGGCAACAGCTACAACAGCAACAACAACAGCAACAACAGCAGCAGCAGCAGCAGCAGCAGCAGCAGCAGCAGCAGCAGAAGCAGCAGCAGCAGCAGCAACCACAACCGCAACCACAACCACAACCACATTCACATCCACATCCACATCCACAACCACAACTATACAAACAAAAAACACAAACAAAACAACTACAACAACCACAACAACCACAACCACCACAACCACAACCACAACCACAACCACGACCACCACGACCACCACGACCATCACGACCACCACCACCACCGCCACCACCACCAACAACCACAACAAGACTACATAGTACTAGCAATGTTTGCATCTTAAGGTTAATTTCAGTTTAGTAGCATGAGGATATCCGTAGCGGCACTAACAACAAAACCAGCTCAACGACATGCTGATCGGTTTCTTATGGTTTGTGGGGACTACACCCTAAACCCTAAACCCTAAACCCTAAACCCTAAACCCTAAACCCTAAACCCTAAACCCTAAACCCTAAACCCTAAACCCTAAACCCTAAACCCTAAACCCTAACTAAACCCTAAACCCTAAACCCTAAACGGAAACCCGAAACCCCAAGCTGAGGTGCATCCTTGAAGTTGAATTCCGAGGCCATCGGTGTCATGACTCGCGCCTTCAGTGGCACTGCCACGACGGCTCCTGAAGGAATCAGAATAGGATGATACAACAGTTTAGGGTTCAGGGTTTCGGGTTTGGGGTTTCGGGTTTAGGGTTTATGGCTTGATTTGGGGGTTTGTGAACATAGGCAATCTAATGCTCTAGTAGTGCAATAGTCTTACTACAAGAGAATAAAATCCTGAAGGAACCACAGACTGGATTCTGGGGCCATCACTACGAGGAAGGTGGGATGATCCAAAGCGTTTGTCGATGATGGCATGGCTGATGAAGGCGGACTGGGCATGCTGTGTGGCGCGTGGAGGCTTCGCACTGGCTACTCGTAAGGAAGATGGGAATCTTGGCGCCGTGGTGGTGGTGCTGCCATATGAGAAAGGTATTCCTTCAGACATTGCCGGCGCCATGGAGCTGTTGCGAGCGTTGCGTCCTCTTGGGCTGCCACCTTGGAAGGGGATGGGAAAGGAATCGCAAGGAATCAAAGCTCGAGCTTTTGCAGCCATGCATGCCACCGAGAACGTCAAGAAGAAATATTGCAGCGGCCCACATGCGCATGTCAGGAACATGTCGGTAGATCCAGCAGCACAAGGTCTTGGTTTCTGTGGGAAGCTGATGCGAGTTGTGAACGCCTGGGCAGATAGCAGACAGCTTCCCCTGTGGTTAGAGACCTCCGGCGCCCGAAACGTGGCCATCTATGAGCGTTTTGGCTACAAGAACATGGAGCAATATGCGTTAAAATGCAAGAATGATCCCGGCACCCATGACGACGAGTTCGGAATGATGCGACTCCCAACACCCCCAGCAGCGGCGTGATGCAGAGGAAACCGTCACCCGAACTCTCATTGAGATCTACAGGTCGCCCATAGCTTGATCGAGCTTAGGGTGTGTTCTTTCAGCGAGCAGGTGGAGGGTTGTGTATGTATGTACATATGGTAAATGCCAGGCTGTGAGTTCTGCTTACAGGGTCGGACGGATCGTCTGTACATGACTGTAGCGTTTGTCTCACTTTTGCTGGTCGCCAGTGCCCTGGCTTCGCATCGCCCCTAAGTTGGGGTCTGGTGCTCGTATTTTCGCTTGCTGGCTACGTCGTCCTCGTAGATGGGTCGTCGTGGCTGACAGGTGTTTTCTTGTCAGTGCCTTCTTGAGTATGTGCCGGCTCGGCGCATGCTTGAGTCCTGTAGGACGTTGCTCTTGTAAGAATGTATATTCAGAGTGTATGTGTCTTTCTAGTTGCGTTTATTTACTCTGCCTTTGCTTCTGCTGTGCTGAATGCTGTATCGTAGGAGCTGAGCTCGCCCATCCCCCAAAAGGGCGGATGTGGAGTACACGCCTGGGCCGGCAGAGGAAAGTGCCTGGATGTGTCAGCATAAACCTCAGAACCCCAAACCCCGAAAGCCCAAAGTCCCTAACCCCCCGAACCCTAAAGTTGCTATAGGAAGTGTCATGAATGTGGCTGCCAAGTGGCTCTTGCAGCTACCCTAAACCGCCTAAAGCCCTACATGGGGAGAGGGAGGTTCCCTGAGTTAAGTCGCTCTTTGGGTAGTTGTTCGTCACGCTTGGGGTCCAGTTAGAGTGCATGTAGAAGGTATTTTGAGGACACTTGAAATTGCGCAGATGCCAAGCTACAGGGTCCCAACAGGTAACCTAATTGGTGTTAAGTATCCTAACTTCACAACAGTATACTTTACAACTACTTCTAAGTCCCTCCAATCCTCCCGGAGCCTAGAAACGGAGAATCCCAAAAATGGATCAAGTTCACATACGACATCTTGCAGGCGATGTTGCAGTTCCCGTGCAGCTGCACGGGGCACGGGTTTAGGGTTTAGAGTTTAGGGTATAGGGTTTAGGGTTTAGGGTTTAGGATGGCCAGTTGATCCCTTTCCGAGCCCGAACTCTAAACTCAGGTCATGACGCACACGTTTCTGATGTCGAGGGGCCTCTATGCTGCCGAAAACCGCCTTGTTTGGGTGCCCTGGCGATAACTTACCCTAAACCCTAAACCCTAAACCCTAAACCCTAAACCCTAAACCCTAAACCCTAAACCCTCTTGGCAATTCACAGGATGGTGGTGCAGGTTGGGGGGGGCCTGCGGCTTTGACGGGTAAAAGCCTCTTGACTTGAGAAGAGAGGCACGGGCCGTCCCTCCTTACTCAAGCTCCAACCCTATATAATCCGCAGCTTAAGTCCTAATGAATCCTTAAGCCCGAAAGCCCAGCCCCAAACCCCAAATCCCCAACCTCCAAACCCCTAAATGCTGCACCTGAAGCCTCAAGCCCAAAACCCTAGAACCTTCGGGCCCACCCAGCCACTACACACTTTTGGGCTTCGGGCTTCCTAAGCCCTGCGCCCCTAACCCGAAACCCTATGAGGGCTCAGGGTTTTAGGGGCCCAGAAGGGCCCTTTTTGTCAGGGAGTCATGGGGGTAGGGGCGATTCCGGGACTACTCAGCAAGTGGGGGTTCAGGGTTTTGGGTTTAGGGATGTTCACGCATGTGGAACTGTAGGAATTACATGGGCGACCTGAGAGGAGTAGATTCGGGTTTAGACGTCTGGGTTTTCCCCTAAACCCTAAACCCTAAACCCTTTCACCCCAAGTCCTCTAGTCAGCCCCGAACTGACTGAAGAGGTGCCGGGCGGCGAGCATGTCGCCTGGGATGAAGCAACCCGCTACTTGGTTGGGTTTTAGGGTTTAGGGTTTGGGGCTTGGGGTTTGGGGTTTGGGGTTTAGGGTTTGGGGTTTAGGGTTTGGGGTTTAGGATTTAGGGTATGTTTTTTTTTTTGGTGGAGGGGAGGGGGGGGGTAGGGGGGGCTCAAGGTGCTTGGGGTTAGGGCTTAGGGGCACTGCTGCTTAGGGTTTGTGGTGCGACTTCTTGAATATCGTGCTGCGCAGCTGTGCTGCTTTCCGCACGCTCAAGCCGAAATAAACGTCTGCCAAACTGCAACCCGCAAAACTAGACGATCAAACCCTAAACCCCAAGCCCCAAGCCCCAAATCCCAAATCTCAAAGCCAAGCCCTAAACCCCTGAACCCCAAGCCCGAAACCCCAAGCAGGCCTACACCCTAACTTCGAAACCGGAAAACCCCAACCAACTTGAACACCCTAAACCCTATGCCCAAAGCCCTAAACCCTAAGCCTTAAACCCTAAACCCTAAACCCTAAACCCTAACCCTAAGCCCTAAGCCCTAAGCCCTAAGCCCTAAACCCTAAACCCTAAACCCTAAACCCCAAACCCTAAACCCTAAACCCTAAACCCTAAACCCTACCTAACATCCTTATAACACCCCACCCATGTCCCAGGCTCGGCACTCCGCCCAGCCATGCTCCGATTCCTCGCGCAGGCCCTGCAGTGACCTGGCCCGGAAGAGAGGGAGCCAAAGCAGGGGGGTTTAGGGTTTAGGGTTTAGGGTTTGGGGTTTCGGGTTGAGGGTTTAGGGTTTAGGGTTCGGAGGGTTTAGGGTTTAGGGTTCGTAGGGTTTGTAGGGTTTCGGGTTTGTAGGGTTTGTAGGGTTTAGGGATTTGGGTTTGGGGTTTGGGGTTCGAGTTACTTGGGCTTTAGGGTCGATTTGTGGCTCGATGCGGCTTAGGGTTTAGGGTTCAGGGTTTAGGGTGCTAGGGCTAGGGCTCAACAGACGCGAAAAAGGTAATTTCTAACTCAACTCCAGGTATAGCTTGTAATAGTGGGGTAACATTTTGCATTTTTAATAATCACGATAAGGAATCGACACTTAAATGTTTTTTGCTATCCCAACCATGAATTAGTTCTACCCTTACAAAAAGTGGCAATTGCGGCAACTGCTGTTAACCTTTGAACGCCCATCCTGAACATGGAATCCAAATAATACCTGAACCCTCAAACCCTCCTAAAACCCTGAACTCCCCCCCCCCCTCTACATGAACCCCAAACCCTACGCTCTCGCTACCAAGCGGTGAAGCACAATAAGTTTCAACTTCCCTTGTTGCTCGACTGTGAAACCCCGGTTAAACACCACACCCTAGACCCGATCTGAAGTGAAATGTTTAGTTCACTAGTTCTTGTGCGGAGTTGGAGAATGATTGGTCCTGGGCATGTGGGTTGTGTGCGCATCATACCAATACGTGTCTGTGTGTACGTGGCTCAGGGTTGGTCAGCTGTTTCATCTTATTGCTGCTTCCTTGTTCCTCATTCAGCTGAACGTAGGATAGGACAGTAGTTTCAAGGTCTGCTCAAAGTCTGTTTTCCGGTGAGCAGTCAGTCGACTTAGCGCTCGGCAATTCTGGAATTTCAAGCTACACCAATGGATTGGCCGAGGCTGCCGGAAGTATGCGGCGGGACCGAAACGACAAGCTTCGACGGCTGGTGAGCCAGCATCTTTTTTTCAGACATATATATATATGTATATGTATGTATGTTGACGGCGTAATAAAGTGTTCTCCGCATCCATTCTGGGAGTCCCCCGGGCGCACCAGTCAAAGCAGACCTCCTTCCAACGAGGGCGCGCCCTGAAAACTGGGGCACGCCACTCTGATGGTGAGTGAAGTGTAGCGTCTGTGTTAGGATTCCGGGTTGCCGGTGCTGTTCAGGCTTGAGGTTTCTGTGTGTTGAGCTTCGTTTTTATCCACTGATGTTCAGGGTTTATGGTTAGGATTGATTCTTGATTTTGAATCTCGAGGGGCTAAAGGAGGGACCCGTTATACAGGGGAATAAAGATGAAGGGTCCTTCTAAGGGTCCCTCCTAAAACCCCTTAAGAACCTGGTTTTCAAGGCCCCTCATTCTCAGTAGCTCCCGGCCCTCACCAAAGGCGTGAGGCTGCCGGTTTGCGGTCCTGGGTGTCTGCGAAAAAGATGGGGCAGTCGCAGTGCTCGTACGAGTTTGCAAGGGGTAGTAGGGGGTAGGAGGGGGTAGGGCGTAGCCTACTCACACATACCAAGAGTGGGATGCTGATCATGATAGTCGTGATAAGATAGGACTTGTGGGGCCTATAGGGCCATACAGGTTTGCAGTAAGCTGAATGCCCTTATTCGACCTCTGGGTCTGAGGATCACTGCTTCTTTGGCAGTCTCCGTGTTCGTTGTCCCGGAAGTCCCCTAAGGCTCGAAACCCCAAAGCCCGTTTCGGGTTTAGGGTTCAGGGTTTGGGGTTTGGGGTTTGGGGTTTGGGGTTTGGGGTTTAGGGTTTAGGGTTTAGGGTTTAGGGTTTAGGGTTTAGGGTTTTAGAGTGCCCACGCGTTCAGCAATATGTGGTCTCGGGCCGGGGAGGATACCATGGGCAGGGGGTGGGGAGGTTAGGGCCCCCGAGCCCGAGTTCATGATTACCCCGCAAAGCTGGAAGTGTCTGCTACTGGTGAGTGTTGTGCCCCTTTTGACACCTTGGCAGGCTAGTGGCCCAGGGAGGTGGGAGGGGGCGGTGCTTTAGGGTTTAGGGTTTAGGGTTTAGGGTTTAGGGTTTAGGGTTTAGGGTTTAGGGTTTAGGGTTTAGGGTTTAGGGTTCAACGGTTCAACGGTTCAACGGTTCATGGTTTAGGGTGCGCCTTGACTTGGTGTAGGGTTTTGCATCGGGTGTTTTCTCCTGAGGAGTTTTGCTTTGTTTCTGTCTGTAGAACCATGGGGAGTATTTAGCAACCACGGTTCTTATACGGAGGAGTTTAGACTTGTTGCCGATCTACAAACCCTAAGCCCTAAACCCTAAACCCTAAACCCTAAACCCTTCGCGCCCGAGGCGGATGGGAACGGTCGATGACTTCATGGAAAACAACGATGTACAGCAGCTCCCCGGTCGATTTCAGCACCATTTTGTCTGCGCAGCCTGTCAGTCCGTCCAGCGGGTTTAGGGTTT